TGGATCATGAGGGCTACCGTTTTATAAATTCATTTTCTAGACTTGGTTGTTCCTTTTTTAAACCTGTAAAATTCTTGTAGTACTTGATGTGACTGTTAAAAGTGGAACCGAATGCAAAAAGTCAATATTTGCGGTTTTTATATAGAACATTTTAGTATGTTAATTGTTCCTAAGCAGTAGCCTGAAAAATCTACCTTTTTATTTGTCTTAAACTGCTCCCGAAGAACTGCAGTGCACTTCTTGGTATGTAAGTGTGCCTGGGCACTCCTGTCCCTACAGCCTTATGACTGTATATCTGCAGTGTGAGACCTTAGGCCCTGCTGCTTCTGACCACTAGTCTCAGGAGATTTTGAGTGAGATTTAGTTACATGACTACTGTGCTTCAGGCTCTCCTTGCTGATGGCTCTAACAAAGGGAAGCAAAATAATATCTCTGCCAAGATGGCCACCTTCACACAGACACAGTGCAGAACAAAGCGTGGTAAGTCTGTAATGGGAAAAGCTCAGCTAATCGGAGGGCACAGGCAATACTGATAAATAAGCGTTTGCGCTCTGCCTGCACAGGGTCCAGAGTTTAGCTCCTCTTTTAAGATATATGTGAGTATAATTACACAAAAATAAACTTTAGAGATCTTGTTAGGCGCCTGATCAGATATGTAATTTTAAGGTTATCAGGTTTAGGGATCAGGTTAAGGATTAAAGGAGAACTATGGGGTAAGTGTTTTTCCCCATAGTTCTCCTAAGGGTCACGGGAGGACATAAACTAACATCCTCTTGTGACCCAAAGCTCAGTATATCGTGAGCTACAGCTCGCGGTATACTGAGAGCGCCGCAGCCGGGACGGATCCCGACATTACTGTTGAAATCCACCCAGCTGCGTGAGTGATAGCTGGCTTTGCCTATCTAGAGGCAGAGCCAGCTGGACCCGCCTCCTCCCCCGTCTGTTCCTCCAGTCAGCGCTGGAGTATCGGAGCGGGGAGGGGGGGGAAATCTCCCTGCCGAGAGCCGTGACTGTCACTCACTGCAGGGAGATCGAGAAGTGAGCGAGCGACGGTATGTGTTCGCTCACTTCCCGATTTTATTGAGCCGACTGGTTACATTGTCGCACGTCGGTTTGAACTGAGGTTGAGTGAAAATCACTTGCCTCATAGTTCTCCTTTTTTAATTTTAGGGTCAGGATTTTTTTAGTTTTAATTTATAGGCCTTAGGTTGATAATTTTCGGGGTTAGGGCACAACTGACCTAAAGCCTTTTTTTTCTTTTTTTAAATTGAAGCTGCTTTTACCCTTTTTTTTTTTTTTTTTTTTTTTTTTTTTTTTTTTTTTGCTCCTCACCACTAGAGGTCATAGGATCTCTGTGAAACCACCAAATTAGGTTCTTGAAACTCCAACTCTTGAAAGATCGTTCATACAGGTTTAGGCCCATGGAGGAGTGAGAAAGTCAACCTTTTGGCACTGTCGCCACCATCCTATTTCGTGGGGAAGAGGAACAGCTAGGAGAATCAAACCCAAACCACCAACATCTGTGAAGAACTTTAAATAGAAATAGTAGGCGACTGTTGGTGCTGGATCCAAAGTTGAGTTTATTTCCAAGGATTCGTGTGGACTTATGCGATCCAGGGTGCATTTAAACACTGGGCAGGAAGCTCATGCTTACTGAATGCTCTACAAGAAAACTTTAGAATGCAACCAGAGAAAACTTTAGAGTTTGTTCAATTAAAACAGTCTAATAAATTCTATAATGTGTGGTCAATGCGTTTCCAGGGCCAGAAAGACCAGAGCTTGGGATATTAAAGCAGGTTGAGGTTGAACTGTGGGGATAAGGAGGAGAATAAAAATGGTGGTGAGAATAGGCACACTTCTCTGCAACTGGTTTTACAGCCTCTGTCAATACTCCAAGCCATGGTGAAGGATGCTCTCTTTCTGATCCCTGATGCACATTAACTGCACATACGGAATTTATCAGACTGTTATTAAAGGAAAAAATGTAGCGTTGGGGCCCTTTTACTTTTCAGTGTGGTTCTCCATTCATGTTTCTCAAGAACAATATTCGATGGCATGTACACGGACTGTCAATCTCTTTTTGTACAAAAAGTGTGCTTCTATCATACTGGGAATGACAAAGATTTTGCAACAATATTCTGGTCCGGGCCCTATGAAAGGCTTGTGACACGTGCAGCTGATTCAGGTAGTTCCTGTTTGCCTGACTTTCACAATGTGTTGCTATGTCTGCAAAAAACCTAAAAGAATTGCCTCCAGTTCTTGGATAACGAAACTAGAGGCATTTAAGTCCAAATCTAGTTTGGCATATAGACAAAGGCCAGTGCTCAAAGTGAAGCTGCTGTGTAGTAAATAACGTTGTATTTGTGCGCTGTTCTTTACTACACAGTGACTGGAAAGCTTCATACTCAAATGACAACCAATGACACATCCCCCTGCCCATTCATTCATTCCATTTGGCACACAAAGACCCTTGTGTATAAAGGTTTTGTAGTGCAAAAAGAGTGTTACTAATCATAGGAATTGTATTTTTCCGTTTCTTGAAGCAACAATATTTGAGTTCGCTGTAGGGTAAGGTTGCTCACCTTGGGCATGCAAGGGCAGGCGCAGTTACATTTATATACATTCCAGTAACGTTGACAAACAATGTGACTAGCCAACATCCCTTTTCAGCACAGCTTTCCTTTAAAGGTTACAATCCAGTCAAAATGAAATGTCAAAAGATAAGTGCACTTATCCTTTTTTTTTTTCCCCCTGACCTAACCTAATCCACCATTCCCCTTCCATATAATGCATACTTGCCTCGATCCAATGACCACAGCCTCTGTTTTGCTTACATCCAGTGCTGCAAATCGCATGGTCCTGGCCACGCCTGCAAACTACAGCCCCTAAATCTCCTATAGGGTAGTGTTCTGAGGCCGAAGACTATAGGAGACATTACCATAGAAATCTAGAGAGCTGTAATATTCAGGCTCGGCCTGAGGAATGAGACTTGAATGTACACAAACAATGGTGGCCGCGACCATTAGTTCGAGGCATGTATGCATCTGTGGAAGGGGAGTGGGTTAGGTCGGGACAAAGGAGTAAAAGTATAAGCGAGCTTTGTCCTCCTTCCTCATTTCCAGTGGTGGCTGTGGGCACCCTCCTGGAGTACTGTGAGTCGAGGCCAGTGTGATGACCCACCCTCAAGGTATGTACATTCCAGCCTGGACTTGGATGATGCTGGGTGTCCTTCATCCCGGAAGACGAGTGGCACTGCACCTTTTGTGGAGTATTTTATTTCAGGAGACAGTGCTGGAGACCACTCTAACTTTGTATTCCTATCCATCCAGGGAAAGTCTAGCAGTATCATTTTATTGGAAGAGATGGTCAGAAGATGCCTATACACACATTTTCCCATTTTGGTTGTCTTTTCACCATCACTTTTGGAGAGTGATTGTGTGGTATTGAGTGGTTGTACCTTGATCAGATGAGTGTGAACGTGTTGGGTGATTCTTGCGTTTTTGTTTTGCGATGTTAAGCTCGCTGCACATTGCTGTGGGGGTTGAGGGATTGATACTCTGTTACTTTGGAATTTCCTATGTTTAAAATGTACTATCCCTTTTATAAATAGGTATCTTGCCAGTGTAATGTAAAAAACAGCAGCCTTTCTTCCAAGGATGTGGCCTGCAACTGCCATTGATGGTCGTATTAAAAAGCCTTCACTCTGCAGTCACGCCTTCACTCTGCAGTCACATTGACCTGTGTTTTTCACTAGCGCCCAGTGAATTTGTGGGCTGCTTTTCTTGAAATGCAAACCCACAAACACTGGCAAGATACTGTACGGTCGCACGTCTTCCGTCGAACCAGCATGCTAAAAAACCCGCCGGGAATCGTACGATTCTCGGCAAGTTAGTGGCCTGCTGGTTCGACAACTGCCGAACGGGCCGGTGTGCGCACACTGCCCGTTTGCAGTCAACGTAAGCCCGCCCCTCCATTACAGTCATCGTAAGCCCGCCCCTCAGGGGGGCGGGCTTGCGATGATCGCAAGTACGATCTGCCTGTCCAAGATGGGCAGATCGTACGTTTTTTTTTTTTAAAAGTACTTTACAACCCTCGCAAGACCAGGTCTTGCGATGTTTGTAAGGTGTATGGGCACCTTTTAGAAAGATGGACCTAAATCAAATTAAATGTTTTGTGTGTGGAAAAAAAATTAAATAATTTTGTGTGTAGTTTTTTTTTAGGCCTTGTTCACACCGAAAGCGGGTGCGTTCCAGAGCTGCAGCTGCTGGAACGCACCGCGATTGCTAAGAAACTAAGCACGTTCTGTGGTGGTGCATTGAATTCAATGCACCGCAACACCCCCCCTCCCGCCCCAGAACGTGGGTGGAAGTTTCTTAGCGATTTGCG